TGTTCTGCAGGGTTTTTTAACAATTGCCTTTGGTAACTTGAGGAGAAAATTTGGCACAGAGACTTTGTTAAAATGTACATGAAGGCTGCTTGCCAAGGTAATGGTACAGAACAGGTGCTGTCGGAGTCAGAAGGTGGAAGTGAAAGAAGGAAACCAATAGACAGAAGGAGCTTAGAAAGTGACCCCGAAACCCGGCAGCCTGCGCTTCGCACTGTTACCACCACCTGGCCCAGCCAGAAGCCACCCTTCAGCCACTAGTCCGGCTTGGGGTTTTACACATCCCACTGGCAGGCCTGGCTACATCTCCTGCCTTTTTTTTTTTTTTTACCTCTTAGTAGAAGAAATTCTCTTTTGTGAACTTTCTATTTCATTCCCAATCTGAATATATAAGGAGTTAGTGATTTTTCTAATTTGTTTGAGCTCCTATTTTACAGCCAAGGAAATCATCATTTTTGTCTTATCAGAAATTCCTATTTCTTGTTAGAAGTGATATATATATATGATAAGGTATTATGGATTGGGAGCTGACATCTTAGGGCTCTTTTATACATTAAAGAAAGTACAGATGGTCCCTGATTTACAAAGTCTCAATTTAACGATATTTCAACTTTAAGACGATGTGTGAAAGTAAGTGACACACATTCAGTAGAAACCATACTTCAGATGTTGATCTTTGATCTTTTTCCGGGCTAGCAATATGCTATATGCTACTCCTTTGTGATTCTGGGCAGGAGAAGCAGGCCGCAGCTTCCAGTCAAACCCGCGATCACGAGGGTAAGCGATCCACGCGCTTACAACCATTTTGTACCCATACAGACATTCTGTTTTTCACTTTCAGTATTTCATGAATTACATGAGATATTCAACACTTTATCATAGAATAGGCTCTAGTTAGATTATTTTGCCCAAATATAGATTAATGTAAGTGTTCTGAGAACATTTAAAGCAGGCTAAGCTAAGCTATGATGTTTAGTAGGTTAGGTGCATTAAATGCATTTTGGACTTAGGATATTTTCAACTTAATGATGGGTTTGTTGGGATGTAAACCCATCCTAAGGAGAACCGTAACCAAATTTTTATTTTATATATTAGAAACCTATAGCTGTTTAAGACAGAGGACCATGTTTTTGCTAAAAAAGCACATTTTAGAGGTATTATGAGGACATTTAGAATGCCCTTGTGGTTCACCTTTAATCTCTTCATTATTAGTATATTTCACTTGGACCAGCTTTAGCCCAGGGGCAGAACTGCTACACTGAGATCAGATAACAAAAGTTAACTTATATCAAGTGTTGATCTAGGAGGTGTGGGGAAGCAAATTCCTACACTAAATACTCCTAAAGTGTAATCCATAATACTTGTGTCCGTGAGCTATGAAGTCCTAGCCCTCAATTGCAGGGAAGGAAATCTTTTTGCCCTCTACAGTCTTAAGTTGGTGGCCAGGGCCCTGTAAATTAGACTGACAAAAGAGAGAACAAGAAGAGAAAATCAAACAAAAATCCTCTAGCATGTGCACTGGGAGAAGGAGCACTCAGAGATGAGTAACTCAAAGGGGAAGTTAGAATTTGGGGTATATATGCTTAACTCACTAAGGGAAAGGGAGGGGGAGAAAGGGCACCTATAGAAAAGCAAATCACTTCTTGGAAAAATAAAAGGACCTTTAGGAAAATATAGATGGAGGATATGACGGTATTGTGTAATGTCTGTTTGGGTGTGGTGACCTTAGAGTTGCTTTGCAGAAAGGGATTCAATGACTTCTGAGTTCTTTTGGAAGGTTCTGCTTTTAGGCAGATAAGGGATTTCAGGAACTCAAATACCTTCAGCTCAAAGTAATTCTTATACCAAAGAAGCAAATTTAAGGACAGCATATCATGATCCCCTTCACAACATTCCCAGTTTTAGAGCTCTCATTTGTGCTTCTTTTCTACTCATTTACTTTTCTACTCTCAATTCTACTCTTCATTTTATTTGCTTTAATTTGGTGATTTTTAACCTGTATTTTGACTGACAGCAAGCCAGAAAAATGTCCACTATTCCATAACAATAAGCAGCATTTCTTTGAGAACTGCCTCTTCTTCATTTTGTAAAATACTGCCTTTACAAGATGGACAACAGGTTATATTAAGGCTGACAGTTTCTAAATGCAACTTGGTATCCTTGTTTATATTTTCTTTATTCCTTAAATATGCTACATAATGTTTTATATTTTTAAAAGTTTTTTTCATTTTGAAAAAAAAATAATGTAAATGTCCTGCCAAAATTATTGGGTTTATTGAAACTACCAGTTTGTATCTCCTTATCCTTAGGACACCAAAAAGACATGAAAGCTGATATCCTACTCTGTGCAGCTTTGGCTGAGTATTCACAGTCCTTCCAGAATTACATGTGGTCACACAGAAAAAAATTCTCAGAAATGCTCCACTGGTCCCAAGGACAATCCAGCAGAAAAATGATCATAAATCAGCACACTTAAAGGAGTAATGCCAGAAAAGCTGGTCACAGAAAAGTCTCTAGAATACAGAATATTACAGTAGTAAGAAATATAGAATCTATTTTTAAAACTGAACCCAAAATGTCCACACTATACAATAATATACAGTTGACCCTTGAACATCATGGGTTTAAACTGTACAGGCCCACTTATATGCAGTACTATAAATGTATTTTCTCTTCCTTATAATTTTAATAACCCTTTTTTTTCTATAGCTTATTTTATTCTAAGAATACAGTAAATAATACATATAACATACAAAATGTATGGTAAGAGACTGTTTACATTATTGGTAAGGCTTCAACAGTAGGTTATTAGGAGTTAAGTTTTGGGAGAGTTGGAAGTTATACACATATTTTCAACCATCTGGGGTTTGACTCCCTAGGTCAACTGCATACTATTAAAGTAATTTTGTGATTTGTTAATTGCCATAATTTTTTAAATTATTTATTTATTTAAGTAATCTCTATACCCAATGTGGGGCTCAAACACTTGACCCTGAGATCAAGAGTCACATGCTCTTTCCACCAGGCCAGCCAGGCACCCCAATCACCATAATTTTTAAAGGCTCCTCATTAAATTATTTTTGCTTACATAACAAGTGAAATTTATCTTCTTGATACATTACCTTATATGATTCATATAACTATAGTTACCATTTCATCTCTCTCATTACAAAAGAAAGCTTTTATAATGTATTTATTTTGACAATGTATTTTCTAGAGTTAAAAAGTTAATAAATAAAAACTGGATATATTGTATTTCTTTTGCTAAAAATCATTTTCTTCATGTATTCTTAGTTTCCTCCAAACCTTTTTTAAAGAGAATTTATTGACATATTTTTTACTTACAAATTGACATTGTTTAAAAATTGCTTTTCATATTGATTTACTTTGATGGTGCCTCTTACTATAAATCTAAAAGTAAGGAGGAGATGCGGAAAAGAATTTTGCCATTTATGACAACTGATCAGGGAAAGAAGAGGTTATGATCATAAGCAGTCTTTGCAGGGAGCCTCTGGTAGGTAGGTCAAACTATCCATTTTCCAGAGTTTTACATTCAATTCTGTTATCCTACACCATAAATATTGAGAGCCTGCTATGTGCAAAGTACTACAATAGATACTGAGAAAACAAGGTGAATTAACCCAGGTTCTTGCTCATAAAGACCTTATAATCTAGGAAATATATTTTATTTATATAGGTATGAAGGAGGAAGAACGGCCTGCCCTCCTTTCTTATATATAGTAAACTAGTGCTGTGAGAATTTGACCAGCCTAATTTGAAGAGAATGTCTAATATCCGATCAAGTCTTTCTAGTCTAACTGCCACTATTCGCAACTATATCTAAATTCCGAAGTATGGCTCATTGAGGACATTCATGATGGGCCTCCTCCTTAATTCTTTAGACATATCGCCCTATCTTAAACACTATACTTCAGACATCACAAACTACTCTGCAACTAAAATTTAATACCCCTTCACCTTCTACTGCCACATCACTCCCTGAGCATCCATCCCTAGTCGGGCTTAGATGCTCACTTCATTTCTGCTACTGTACCTCATGCTTTTCCCTACTGTTTTCATTTATCACACTACATTGTACTTGCCTATTTTTTGACATCCACTACATTGTAAGGTCTTGAGAATTAGATACATATTTTCACCATCATGTCTTCAAAGTAAATGGCACATAATAGGTGTTCAACAAATATTTGTTGAATGAATGAATGATTACTTCAACTTCTATTTTCCAAGAGAAATAGAATATTGCTAACTGGTCCATTCCATGATCTTTCAAGTAGAAAGCTAAATAATCTCAAATGATGGCACAATCTGTAACTAATTATACTGATTAAAATCCCTTAAATTATAATTATATGAAGATTTACTTTCCTTTAATTTAATAGCCATAATAAAAAATGCTGCTAGCAATTTCTAATTAGTTGTTTTTTTCCAAATCCATATTAACTTAGGATTCAAGTACCACTGTGATACATTTATATAAGATAATTCATATAATTGCTTAGCACAGTATGTGGCTCAGAATTGATGGTAGTGCAGTGGACTACCTCATGGGGATGGCAATAATGAATGTGGATCAATGATGTTATATAAAAATTATATGGAGGACTTATGTATCCAAGATAATATAAAAATAAGTGATAAAAATGTAGACATCTATTTCAAAATATGGGAAATGCATAGCCATATATCTTCTTTACAAGTAATCTGGTTATTAGCATTATTATTAGATTAAGCATGCTAACGACAAACCATTGTATTGGAAAAAAGAATGTAAAATATAATTGCATAATTTTACAGTGCTTTGTAATGCATGGAATAATTCTCTGCAGTGTTCAAAAGTGTAAGTAAATGATATTGACATCTGAATACTTTTTGACAAAAACAGCGGTTACAGAGAGAAAGAAGGGGAAAGGTTTTTATATTCTCTAACTGTTCAAACAGTTTTACAAGTATTTGGAAAAGGTCACCAATAGAGGGCTTACCTGGGGTCAAATGAGAGAGGCCCTAGACCATCAAAAGTTATTTCCAATGTCCAGATGGGAGATCTAAAACAGAGAATAACAAAGACAGTTTGTGACAAAGCTGACACACAGTATTCTGGAAGGAGTGAAATCAGTTGTGACATTTTTCATTTATTTGTAAATGCCTCTTTGGCAGTACACTCACTCAAAACGACAGTTGCTTCTTACAGAATAGGGGAGGCGATGGTAAAATAGAGGAATCCTGACAGTTGCTTTAATGAGATTCTGCATTAGGGCTATTCTAACACTATCCGCCAACAAGGACCTTTCCCTTCATTTTCAGTATCATAATTCAGTAATCTGGAAAATGTTATCTCTCTGAAAAACTAAACCATCCAGTCCCTAATAGCCATTGCCAAGTTTATTTTCCTCTTATCTTTCAATTAGAAAAAAAAAAAATTGTAAAGCAAGCATCTAAATAAATGTCAGCCATACAGACCAATTATGTCTTTTTATTAAAAGAGTACAGTTTTTATTAAAAATGGCAATATGGAGGGGCGCCTGGGTGGCTCAGTCATTAAGCATCTGCCTTCTGCTCAGGTCATGATCCCAGGGTCCTGGGATCGAGCCCGGCATCAGGCTCCCTGCTGGGCGGGAAGCCTGCCTTTCCCTCTCCCACTCCCCCTCCTTGTGTTCCCTCTCTCGCTGTGTCTCTCTCTGTCAAATAAATAAAATCTTTAAAAATGGCAATATGGAGTATGACTGAACAACTCAAAGCACACTCTCCAATAACTCAGTATTTGTTTGAAAATATTAGGGAGTACAATTTAAGCTACATCTTAAAAGTCTTTCATTTTAATATTTTAAGTTCCTAAGGGAAAGGAAATTATCAGCAAAGTAGTTTCACTAGTCCTTATAATTTGAGCAACTCTAAACTAAGCAGTCTAAAGATTCCATTTCATTTACCCATTCAACTGTTCTTTGATCCTATGCTCAGTACTCAGCATAGTTGCAAAGCAACTGGAAAAAAACTTACTTCTAAAAAAAATGTAAATTATAACGTGCAGGGAAAATGCAATCCAATCCAGGGTTACCCAGTGTCTACTACCTACTAGTCAACCAATAGGTATTTACTGAACTGGGAAGCTGTACAAAATCAAATCTCTGTGAACAGCAAAATGAAAAGAACATGCATTTTGGCATTTTATATGCCAATGCAACCCATGTCATCATGGATGCAAATTCCAGATTCCAGAGAAGTGAACTAATTAAGAGACACTGAAGAAGTAACAAGCTCTCATTTCCAATTTCCTTATCCTTAAAGTAGTGTTAATAATATTTACTGCATGTGATTGTTGCTATGATTAAACAAATGTTCCAGGGAGGGATAAAGCACCTAGCACAGTTCCTGGCTCATACATAGTAAGTTGTCAATAAATGGTATACCTATTATAATTATGAAGCTTTACTGTGATCAAAACAAATGATACCTTTTTCAAATACAAGAACATAAGTAGCAACACTAAGTAGGAGGGAACCCTGGCTGTCAGGATACTATATTATAAGAACTTTACTTCTACCTCTTCTACTAATAGCCTCTTTGCAACTCAGTTTTCTCATCACAAAAATGGGACATTCCTACCTTTAAATAAAACCCCAACTTAGCTTGGCTATGAAAGCTGTCTGGGTACTTTAAGTATCCAAATAGTATACATTCTTGGAATATGGCCAGTGAATATGGCAGGGAGCACCATTTAAGGTTGGCAAGTTAACTGTGATCTAAGATTTCGGGTTGATAATTTTACCCAGCTGGACAACATTTAATTTTCAGATAGTGTTCAATAAAGCTGAAAAGCTGCTTGAGCAGATAAATGTGTACAGACTCATGAAAGTTTTTGTCTCCTTTATCTTCAGTTTGCCTACAGCACTGGTTCCCAAACTTAGCTATACATTAAAATCACTAGGGGCATTTTTTTTTTTAATGCTAGTATCTATGCACACCCAGACCAATTAATTCAAAATATTTTTTAAAAGCTTCCTAGGTAATTCTAATGTGCACCCAGGGTTTAGAACCACTGGCCTAGAGTTGGATACTATGTTTTTCCAATAGACTGTTGCCTTTAATCCATTTTTCCTCTTTTTTGCTAGGCAAAGCCTCTGATTCACCTTAGGTGTCTTTTTCCTAAGAAATTCTGAAGAAGATGCTTATGCCCAGATTCAGGACAATCTTGATTTAGGCTCAGTAAATCACAGTGGTCCCAATTGCTTTGCCAGGGATTGATTTACGGATATATATGTTATCCATATCTAGCCAAAGATGGAGGGAAAGGTGTTCTGGGGCTCCTAGCAAAGTTCCCACCCTTCTAACAAAATGCTATTTTCCCTGCTGTTATATATGGATATGATCCCTAGAACTGATGTAGTCATCTTGTGGGCATGAAGGAAGTTAGTCTGAGAACAAAGCTACCATCTTGAGGATGGCAAAGCAGAAGGATAGAAAGAAACAGAGTCTGGGATAATGTCATTCAGCTGCTGCATTAATTTGTCCCACTTCTGAACCTGCTATGTGAAATAAATTCAAGCAGCATCAAAGCACTGTGTACTTACATAGCATCCCAAACAATATTAAACAAACAAAAAGAGGTAGGTATATCCCAAGCCTACGTTTAGGTCAAAAAATTTCTTTCATTGTTTATATTTTGAAACATTTTATGAACTAAACCAACTGGTGAAAAATGTCCCAATTTTTCTTACAAACTAGACAACTCTTAGTTTTATTTAAATGGCTTTATAACACTTATTTTTACTAAGAAACACTGTGTAATATGTGATATAAGAAAATTAATAGCAGATCCTGTCAAATATTTTTTTTCAATAGTACTAATTTGTTCTAGTTTTTTATACACAAACATAATGTACAAAATTAAAATATATTTTTCTGCAGCACATGTATATAAATACGTGCATGTGTTTGCTTTTTTAAATTGTTGCCAACCATATGGTGCTTAAATTGGAGAAAAATGTTTTTTAATATCCAACCACAACAATCACATGATTTCCTAATAACTCTGTTTTTGCTTTTAATTGATTCTATATGTAGGTTTCACTTTTTTTAGCTTTCATTTCTTGAATGTAGTACGTCTTATTATTAAATGTCCAGATCATAATTTTGGTTCCAAAATGTCCCCTCTTTTTCTAAAGTAGTAATTTCCAACCCAGAAAATACTAGGGATACTTTGGTATGATGGTTTACCACACAGTTGGAATGAGATTATTATTTATTCAACAATATAAAAAAAATCACCAGCAATCTTGTCGGAAAGGGGGAAACCAGCTATCCTTGGTAGATGGATGCGCTCTGCGAGATAGAGAATAAAACAATGTATCAGGAGTTTGAGCTTTTGGGAGCTGTCAGAAATGATGAGACAGCAGGAAACAAGACGCGTAGATGGTGGAAGTCTCCAAGACATGATCTCTTCCCACATAACCCACCAAATCTTCAATTAATTTATAAATTTATAATTGTCATGGCATGTATAATGTGATGAATTTCTTGCAAAAGTCAATAGGGGATATAGTTTGGTGCAGGACCAATTAAGTGTAGAAAGGATGAAACTAAGTGGGTTCAATGAAGAAGGAAAAGAGTACTGGAAAAAAAAAAAAAAAGAAGGGCAGAAATTCTAAGAACATTCCCTCCCCCAGAATAAAGTGTGAAATGTGTTGAAGCCAATTTTCCCTCAGTATAGTCTGAGAAATCTTAGCATATACGTTTGTCTCCCTCACTATTCTTTGAGCTTCTAAGAACAATGCTATCTTGTACTCTTTGAATCATAATAGAACTCAATAAATGATTGAATTTGATTCAAGTGGGAAAGCTCCTCCAAAAAAGGTATTTTTGCCTACTACTCCCAAATTTAGGCAAGCTCTATACCCAACTGTCCTTTCCTACAGGAAATATTAGTAAGACTGACCTCTCAATAGTGCTAAGAACTTGACAGTACTGAAAGTCTCATGGGCAAGTTTGGTTTGAGGTCATCCCTGTATCTCCACATAACTTACTGCTTAGCAGAGGCCCTAAAATAGCAAGTACATATTGTTTAGTGTTTTTATTTCTATTATAACTATCCTTAGATAATAATTTCATTTACTTTTTGGACCACTAAAGGACAACCAATAGAATGAGATATTTCATTTCAGAAGTATAAAATTAGCATTGGTTTAAAAGGTTCTACAAATTTGTAAGAGGAATTTAATATTTTGTAGTTTATTGCTGGAGGCAAGCCCTTTATCTTGTGAATCCCACTTCATTCATAGAAATATATGAGACGTCTTAAGAACCATTGGTATTTCAATTGTAAATATTAAGGAAAGCTGCATTACAATGCAGACAGGTAATCCTGAGGCCCAGCAGAGCAATAATGATTAATAACACACTCTAGAGGGAGTATAAATTTTAATACTATCACTCATAAAATCCATGTTTCAAACGTTACAAAACAGAATCAAGTTTACCAAAAAGCAAATAAATCATCTTGCTTTGGGGCTACTTCTTCATCTCTGATTTTTAAATAATCAGCACCATCTCCCCAGAGCAGATAAACTAGATTTACCTGCAAGTTCTGAAATCCTTAAAGAGGACTCTCATTGGATTCTGCTTCTAGTAAATTCCACTCCCAGTGTTAATTCAAATTTACATTTAAAAAGAGAAAGGAGACTTTAGGGAAGTGGCCTTCATAAGGATTTTACTTGCTGATTATAATGATGATGCACAATGCCTTTTCACAAGATTGCATGGGTTAGAGGGTAATCCCACTATCACTTTTGCACTGATGAGAGCCCTACTTGAGTGCTTATCTCACATCTGGTCTCCAAACTAAGGCAGAACTAAAAGAATCCAAAAACTATGCAAAGAGTCACAGAAATCATGACTAAAACCGCTAGAACTAAATGAGCAAAAGTGAAAGAAAATGTAATGAAAATTGGTGAACAATTCTGAAGAAAAAACAACCCTGCATACAAACATAAGGCCAAATAAGCACAAACATCAATAGGTTTATTTTTAATGGTGCTATTGGGAACTAACTAGATGACGTTCATGATAGCTTGTTTGTTTCTTTTATTCTTTTCATAAATTTATTTCTTTTCAAGTCACAAGAATTATCTAAGTCAATGTGCTTAACCTCAGTAAATTGCTTCAATAAATCAGTTAATAGTTTCACAAAATAATGTGATCATACAAGAGATGAATCAATTGTCCCATTCAATATTTTAATAGCCACATTTCCTATTTC